TTTCAGAAAAATGTATAAAACTAAAAAAAAATGTATAAAACTAAAAAAAAATTTATAAAACTAAAAAAAAATTACTTAACCAAAAAATATAAAATGCTCTATAATACTAAAATTAATTTTGTTTTAAAACAAATATAGCATTGTTTATAAATAATTCAGTCATTTATAAAAAAAAGGGCAACTAACTTTTATTTAAAAAATTAAAAAAAAATATATATGAAAATTAAATTATAAAGTAAAAATATAATACTTTTATTTCATAAAAAAAATAATACAAATTTTTTCTTAATATTCATATTTTTACTTTCATCAAATCTAGAAAAAGTTAGCAATAAATGTTAATTGCAATTAATGTTGCTTAAAAATGAATACAAAAAACTCACAAAATTTTTTTGGTATTTTTAGGTTTTTAAAAATTATAGAAGTTTGTAGAAAAAATAGCTTAAAGTAAATCGGAATATATTTTTGCTAATTTTTAAAACATTTTTTTTTCACATATAAAAAAAAAACTCAAAAATTGCTGAACTTTTCAACTGCATTTTCGTTACGTTTTTCCGTTATAAAGTTGAATTATATGCTTTCCATTAAATTTTTTTTTCCCAAAAAGTTTAAAAATAAATAGCTAAAAGTTATTACAATTGCTTACGATATATTTTTTTATTATTTTTTGATATAAAAGTTTATTATAAATATTTTGAAAAATGTTTTAAAAAATATATTTGGTATATATGTAAGTATATTTGCAAAAAAAAAATAGCTAAAGGTTATTCTGATTGCATATTTTATGTGTTTGTTGTGTGTTCCTATTATTTTTACGATATACGACTAAATTACAGTTTTTTGTAATTTTTAAAACATTGTTTTCCGAATTAAAAAAATAAATCAATTCAAAAATAGCTGAAGGTCATTTAAATTGCACATTTAATGTTTTTTATGATAATATTTTCTTAGCTGCTGTATTCCTTTGTACACAAGATATATTATACATACATATGTATTTTCAGTGAGACCTTTCAAGTTCGTTGCTTAAGTCTTTTGTTTGCTGAACTAGAGCAGCAAAAACATATGAACTGGCGGCTGCTGTGCGACAAAGGTGACAATGCTGTCAGACATACAAATTCATTTAAATATGTATTAATATTTAGTTAGATTATCAACAACAAGAGCAACAACAACAACATAAAACTTTGCTTTGTAGCGCTTGTTGACTTTGTTTGGCATATTTTAATATAATTTTTTGTATTTTCCTGTTGTTTTTATCTATCATCGTTGCCACTTTGTTGCTGACGCATTGTTTTTGCAACGCATTTGTGTTTATATGATACAAGGGCTTTCAACACTGCAGCTAGTTTGCATATGAATGCCGATGAATGGTAAATGTCTGTATATATTTCTTAATATATTGCTCCATTTGTTGTTGTTTATGCGACTTGTTTTTCCACACTTCTACAAAACATTGCGCTTATTATTTTTAATTTGTTGGCATTTTTTTTGTTTTTTGCAATCACGCTTTCAATTGCAAATCTCATATTCATCTTTCACACGCTCCAACAATTGCTTACTCACCGGTGCTGCGTACGTTTCGCTTGCCACAAGCGTGGCATAGAAAAATACTTGAACATACATACAGACAAACACACAGACGTGTACGACAAGTCTGCAATCTTAAAGAATGCGCTTGGCGTTGGCACATGTGCCGTTAGATAAACGCGTCTGTGTGTGTGTCTAACAGCATCTGACGAGTGGGAAGCCATTTATTGTAACAATTTATTTATGCTAATATGTATTTATTGCTATTATTGTTTAAAAAATTTGTTGCGGTTTTAATGATTGACATATTTCTTTGCTTATTATTGCATATAATTTGAATGAATGTCCATTTGAGTCACATTTCTCGACAACAAAAGTAAAAGTTGCAAAGCGGTATTGTGGGAAAATAAGCTGGCAAGTATTTAAAAGAGGTGTTGTTGTGGCATAAAGAACCAATTAATTGCAATAATAGTAATGAATTAGTTGATGCAAGAAGAAGAGTGGCTAATAAATGTGAGAACTAAGGTACAAAGTGAAGAATGTATCTTCGAATCAAGCGGCCGACAAGCTGGTTTAGAAAAAATTTAAATAATATTACCGCTAAGTGGTAGCAAAAGTATCGTTAGCGAGTAACAGTCGACACTGTTATGGTTAACTTCTGCGGCCGTGATAATTGATTTTAATAAAAAAAATTTTTTTAAAAACACTTTATATTAAAATACAAACAATTTGTATTAAAATACAAACTAAAACAAAACTATTATACTCTGTGGAAACATGTTGAAAGAGTATAAAAAAGATTACACTAATTAAAAAACGCATTAATAAAATAAAAACAATTAGTAAAACTTTTTTAATAAATTTCCAAAAATAGATTAAATTATTTCCAATCACACTAGTAAAGATTTTTAATAAAACAAAATTATTAAAAAATTTTAATAAAAAAAAATTTAATAAAAGATTTTAATACAAATTTTCAATAAAAAAAATTAAATTTAAAAAAATTAAATAAAAATAAAAAAATGTGACACTTTTGTATTAAATTTTAAAATATAAATTAATTATTTCCTTTTAAACTAATTACATATAATTTCTAATCACACTAATAATTATTTTGTAAAAAAAATTAATAAAAAATAAATTCAATAAATGATTTTAATACAAAGTTTTAATAAAACAAAAATTAAGTAAAATTAAAAAAAAAATAGTGGCACTTTTGTATTAAATTTTAAAATATAAATTAATTATTTACTTTTAAACTAATTATATTGTATATAATTTCTTATCGCCCTAATAATTTTTTTTTACAAAAAAATTAGTTAAAGTTTTAATAAAAAATAAATTTAATAAAATATTTTAACACAAATTTTTAATAAAAAAAATTAAAAAAAAGAATTAAATAAAATTAAAAAAATAGTGACACTTTTTATTAATTTTTAAAATATAAATTAATTATTTGTTTCTAAACTTATTATATATAACTTCTAATCACACTAATAAACATTTTTGTAAACAAAATTAATAAAAGGTTTTAATACAATAAAAAATTTTAAATAAAATTAAAAAGAAATTGAATAAAGTAAAAAAAATATATAGTTTAGTTTAACTTTTTAAGTAAATTTCCAATTATTTACTTGTAAATTTATTTTAAATTATTTCTAATCACACTAATAAAATTAAAAAAAAAACTAATAATAAAAAAAATTATTACAAAATTTCAATACAAAATTTTAAATAAAGAAATTGTATTAAAAATTTTTAATAACAATTTTTTTTTATAAAATTAAATGCATTTTTTAAGTAAATTTCCAATTATAAATTAATTGCTTACTTGTAAATTTATTATAAATTATTTATAAGCACACTAATAAAATTAAAAAAAAAAAAAATAATAAAACAAATTAGTACAAAATTTCAATAAAAAATTTTAAATAAAAAAATTATATTAAAAATTTTTAATAACAATTTTTTTTTATAAAATTAAAAAAAATTATATGCAATTTTTTAAGTAAATTTCCAATTATAAATTAATTGCTTACTTGTAAATTTATTATAAATTATTT